GTCAATACTGTAGTTTTTCAAGATTTTAGAATCAATCTTAGTCCATATAAATTTGTACTATTGGTAATTAGTGAATAATTTGGAGGAATTTGGGCAGTTGTGCTGGTTGTAAACTGTGAATTTCTAATTGTAAAGTGAATTGTTACTTCTAATGAATTTCTTTTCAAGAACATATTTCAGCTTAACATACTAAGTAAATACTGATAAATAAGGAAATTAGAAATTTAGTGTTCATAATTGAATATGGTCTAAATTTTCTTATACTTTTATTTCCTGTTTATGCTTAGGTAGATTGGAGGTGGGAAAAACTCTGTTGTCCCTAATTAAAATTTTTCTAATGAAGATTAATAGCATAAGGACATTATGTAAAACAGTGACATTAAAAGAGGACCTTTGGAAGTATATACATTATTATAACATAATAATGTGTGTAATGGTGGCTTTAATAGTTTTCAGCTCTTTTATCTAGAGCTTGAGATAATTAAAGCTGTTTTTCAGGTCATGTCACAATGGCAAAGTGTTAAACAGTGAGATGTCAATGCTTATTTAGATTTGTCTACTCATATTTATATAAACTTTTATTCCATTCCATTCAGAGGATGCCTTTTATTCCCCACATTAAAGCACAGATCATTAAGCAATAAAAACCAAATTGTCTGTCATTCAAATTATAACTGCAATTATTTTTGCATGGTAAAAGCGAGGTGCTAATTTTGTGTGAGATGAACTTTGTAAACTACTTCAGGAAATGTTCTTTGGCAGTAAGGTTTTTTCCCCTTTAGTCCTATGCTTCCAGTTTTGTCTCACATTCACAATCTATTGAAACATGGGAAACAAGAAAAGTAGATTTAATTGAGAGACTTTTATGAGAAGAGCTGTTTGGTATAAATGAACATTTCAAATTTTCTAAAATGTAAATTGGGAGAGGTCTCCATTGTCTCTGCATTTACAAAATACATGGTTACCATCTTAATTTCAAGAGTGTCACTGCAGTGAGCATTTCATTAAAAAGCATACCAGTGAAATTATTAGCAGTGCTTATCAAAGAACATTGAAATCCGTGAGAATCTTTTTAGGAGCATTCTTTTTTTTTCTTTTAGTTTCAGGTTCCCAGGGTATTTTCATTCATAGTAGATTTATATGACTCACAGAATGTGGAATTTTTTCCTCTTTGGAGTATTTTTGTAATGTAGGTGGATAGCTACACCACAGCATGCATAAATTGCACATTTCGTTTGACTTTATAGAATATTTAATTTGAAAAATATAATTTATGCCAAAAAAAAAAATACCTTACAATTTTGTCACTTAACTAGGTTGAGTTAGCACAAAATGCAAAGTCTTGGGGTGGAGAGACGGAGTGAAAAAAAATTTATAATCAGTGTTGAAAAATGTTCCATTACTGACCTGTCGGAAACCCTAAACCTGCATTGTAAAATAAATGGTGTAAATTAGTTTTGAAAAGTGGTAAGGGGTTGTGAAAAAACTCAGACTTAATACTCTCTAACCACATGATTTTCTTCTTTTTTACTTAGTAATACGCTGCTACATATTTGGAGGTTCTGGTGTTTGTAGGTCACTGAACAGACATTGAAATCTGATTTATATTGTATAACTGTAACATAGAAAGAAAAAGTATTTATATATTTTCCGTAAGAATATTTCATTGAGTTGTGTATAATTTAAATAAGATTTGTCCCCAAATGGTTTTGCTCACCTTGATTTTTTTGTTGTGTTTTTGTTTTTGTATAATGTGTACAGTTTGTGTCAAGGGCATTAAAAGCCTCCTGAAGCATAATCTTATCAAAGGGATACATTGTTAATAAAATGTACTTAAAATTCTTAAACTTGAGTTGCTGCTGTTTTACTTGAAAACTTAAAACACTCAACCAGCGGTCATATGGCCTTGATTTGAATCATGTAAAGCTGACGCTGACACATGGGACTCCCAGTAAAAGTGGTGTTTAGGTACCACAGGCAGTGGGCTAGTTCAGTAACACATAGAGAGGCAGTTCCAAATATTTTTAAATAACTATTCAGTTTCTTAAACATTCTTCATAATTTAATCAAGCAAACACCTTTACAGTTTTTAAAATCAAATCATTATAAAGGATTTGGAAAATGGTTCTATCTTTATACAGAACAGCTCTGAATTTTTTGAGGAGATAATATACAACATAAGTAGCAATGATATGACAATGGTGACTTTTCTGTAGAAGGTATTTGATTTCTCAGGCATAAATTAGCTTGATCAGATAGGCTAACGCATAGCCACCTAGGGGCAGAAGAAAGTATCACAAGGGAAATTTCAAGTTCTAGAGAATAAAATTTAGTGTTGAAGCTAGGGCCTGTTATACTTAATAAAATATGATAAAACATGTCTCACTTTAAGAAAAATTTGTTTCAGATAGTTTGGCCTTTAAGCACGTTTCTGTATATAATTTTTCTCATTGCCTTCTACTATATATGTCATTAAAAATGTAGTTGGTCCCAAAATGAACTAAAAAGCATACTTATTATCATGCAACTGCTCTTAGAAAAAAGTCATAATATAGCTGAACTTTGAAAAGGTTTTATTTTTAAAACTCCAGCATATAAAGATACTCAAAAGTAAAGTACTACTTCTGTATTGATTTCAAAATATATATATATACTAGAACATTGTTTCTTTAATGCTTGTCTTAGAAGACTAAGAATTACATATGTTTAGTCCTTCAAATTGAATATACCTAGTTATTGTGTTGTAGACATCATTTTAACTACTAATTCTGAAGACTTTCTATCTTCTGCTGTATCTCAGGGTTTTAAAAGTTCTACTTTATGCAGTGTTTAACATGTTTTGTAAATTCTTTGTGATGAGCACCAGCTTACCTTTTATTAGAGCTCTTAGAAGAAATGTTACATATTAAGTCTAATTCAACTTGATTTTCTTAATGAATACACATTCTAGTAATCTATAACCTATGTGGAATAGGTGTTAAAATGTCAGCAAGTATTTCCAGCAGGTCCCTGACTATGTTGTATGAATGGGCCCCTGCTTTCTGCCTGAATCATAGAGGTACCCACACACAGCTGAGGATTTCTTTACAGGCTAATGTAGAATTTATAGGTCATTGACACCAATTGTGCCCACCACCAAAATATATTGATATTATTAATTTGGTTTTAGGTACAATTTTCTTAGAAATATTATGGCTGTGTTAGAAATTGTAGAGCTCATTTGGAGAAAGTCAAATATTTACAGGTGAAATTATATGATTTGCTTTAAAATAATGCAGGGAAGGAGAGTGACTAGAGGTGGGGATGGGGCTAAAAGCAATGGGTAATGGCTTTTGGGCCTGACGACAGTACATAGGGGTTCATTAAACTATTCTACTTTTGTGTATATTTGAAATTCTTTATAATGCATTTTTTAAAAATCCTGATACCTCTACTGACACAATATAAATTTCAAATTTCTGAGTAACAGTTCTGAAAGCAATATTGAGATGGTATGTAGTATTGACAACTAAGATTTTCAATACTAATTTATTTGGTTGCTATGAACATTGGGGAGGAATGTTTAAGAACCAAAAACCACAGATCATACTATTATAAACATAAAGTTATTTAAGCCCAGCATTTTCTATTGGTGTATTGTTATATTTCAGAAAGACTTAATTTTATTTAGGCCAGTACTTCTTAGAGTTTAATGTGTATCTGAATGCCAGGGAACTGATGAAAAATGTAGATTACAAGTCGTGTGTCCGGAGCTGCTTATTAGGAGGTTTGGTGTGGTACCTAGGAATTCATGTTTTTAGTAAGATCAGGAGGTTATTTATTGGCTATACTGAAATTGTTAGATTTTCATTTCATTGAGGTAGACAAAACACAAAATAATGCGATGGTGAAATGTTTTAATTAAGGCTTACTGCAACAGCAAAAAACGTTTTCAATGTTTTGTAGATTTTTTTTTAACAAAATCTATATGAAAGAAACTATTTAAAAATCAGCCATCAATGTCATTGACATTTCTGTATACAAGTTTTAAATGAAAATGACAAAGGAGCATAAATAAGGTAAATGGTAACAATACTGGCCCTAAAGTCTTCTCACAACTATTAGATTAATTAAGCTACTGTTTTGTACTATGTTAGGAGAACATAACCAATTTTTCTAGCAAAAGGTTGAGTTATTAGTTATATGTAAGGAAAGAGTAGAAAAGCTTGAACAGAAGTACTGGTTTTTGTAGGAATATTTAGGCCAGTTGACAGCCACATTACTTTTAGATGTGGATACTTGTCTTGCTTTCATAGTGTTGAGTAGCACAGGGCAAGGGCACTTGGTTCCAGAGGCATGAGCAGAGGTGGAGTCATTTCCACCACACTGACAGCAGTCAGCAAAACAAAAAGATGCCCCTCTTGTTTAGAAATGTGACAAACATTAGGGGTTGAGAGGCAGAGGGAAGAGAAAGGGATTAGCACGTACTGAACACCTGTTATGTACCAAGTGCTTTGCGTATATTGGTTCAAGACAGAGTTGTGCTGGAGCCAACACAGAATTTCCCACCCCATAGAACTTATTACAGTTATATCTAAATTATGTCCAACAATGAGGTTTCATTTTATTTATTAATTTTAACATAATAACATAAATGAGACAGAGTTTTATCTTGATCCAAACAACCTACTGCAAAGCTCAAAGGATGCTAAGTGAAAACAGGACATTTATATGTGGTTTTTGAAAAAAAAGAGGAACCATAAAATGTGAATGAAATTACTCAGTGATATATTTTCCCGTTTCTATTCTGAGGTAGTCATCAAAAAATTATGGAAGGGCTGGCCCGGTGGCGCACTGCTACACTCTGCGGCGGCGCTCCCGCCGAGGGTTCCGATCCCACATACAGACCGGCCGCTCACTGGCTGAGCAAGGTGTGGGCGCGACACTGAGGGTTGCGATCCGTTGCCGGTCACGAAAAAAGACAAAAAGGAAAAAAAAAAAATTATGGAAGAAGACTGATGTCTACTGGGCAGGAGTGTTTATTATCTTAACATTAAGTCAGGAGTTCCATGTCCCATTCTTTAACTATAGTAAGCTAGACAGGAGAATTCTGGAGATCTTACTGATTCGTTCACACATCTTGCCTATTAATTGTGCCTCCGAAAGAATTAATTTTACTGTCAATAAACTATAAATTCATATCACTTCAAGGCAAGTCTAAAATCTGTTTTGGTCTCAAAACTTCTGTGGCCTTTATTAAAGGCTTCCGTCTAATTGCTTAACCCTTAAGGATTAAACATTAGGGTAAATTTTAATGGAAATATTTCCTCCCTAAAAACAACTTCTAGGACCACAGCCACCTTGTACAGTTCTGAGTGGGCGGGGTCTGTGGAGTGGTTAATTCCTATCCCTATGTCAAGTTCAGGTCTACTATTCTAAAGGTGAGCCTGGAACAAACAGCAGCAAGGTGAGCATGTTCCCATGATCCTGCCATTTCTAGAGCAAGCCTGCAGCAAGGGCAAATGTTATGTTCCATAGCTTCTGGCCTTTAACCTAACTAGACTGTAGTGGTTTTATATAAATCAGACCTCCAGATAGTGATAGCTCAGTGGGGTTAAGGACTGAGGCACCTAGTAATAGAATGGTGCCTGCCAGCTATGCTCCCCTTAGTGTGTGTATAGCATAAAGGTATGAAATGAACATGCTGGTTAACGGCAGTGTTCACCTTGATTTAAAAGACTAACTGAGGAAAGGCTGCTATTCTCATTCGGGGGAGGTGACGCAAGACACAGGGGTATTGCCATTTGCATTTTATACTCCGAACAGTGTGCCGGCACTGGTGGATTTGTTGGCAGACCATCCTTGTCACCAGAGATGGGTGAAGCCAACTGGGACACATAATTCAAACTAGCTTCTCCAGCTGGGATTTCTCCCAGGGAGTTCATATAGTTTTTTTCTATTGCTTTTAGTAAATTTTCAGGTGAGGTCAATAGTCCCAGCTGACCTGGTGGGACTTCCTGGGGTACTGGAACATGGCCACAAGAACTACAGTCAGAAGCTGCCTGATTATAGGTAAAGTTCTCAAAACAGATGCAGGGTCCAGGGCCGGAGTAATTATTTTCTGTTGAAAGGAGGTAAAGGTAGGCGGGCTTAGTCAATTCAGTTTCTGTGAGTGACCTCCTAGAACCTAAGAGTTGTATCTTAGTCACTTCTGGCTTGTTCATAACTTCAATAGCATCTGGAATGCAGTCGTTGACATTCATTATTGTTAAGTGAGGGTTCTCCTGGGAAGGAAACAAAAATATGTAAATATAAACCTGTTTGTGTGTGTGTGTGTATCAAAGTATAATAAGTGTGTGAAGTGCACTTTGAACTTCAATTTTGTTCACATTTCCTTCTGTTCACAAGTTACCTGGAGGTGGTGTTGAAAACCAAGGAATTTCCCCTGACAGAAGATATCAAAGCTTTCACCACCTATTTCATGGCTGTGGGAGCAGGGATGGCTTTTACTTTGTTATATTTTCCTGAGGAGGTCTAGGAAAGCAGGATCGTTACAGCCCCAAATCTAGGTTAGTCCTTAATACGGATGTGGTATACATACAATTTCCCAACATTTACCTTGGATTTTATTAATGACAGGATGCTGCTCTTGTAAGGGTCTGGGATGTCAGGATAACAGTTCTCTTTTATCCTAGAAAAATAGTGGAAATCAGACTGAATTTTACAATGTAGTGGAATAGTTAAGAGTGAACTCTAGAGTCCGATTCCTGAGTTCTAATCTTTGCTCTACCACTTATTAAACAAGTTACTTAAATCTTCTGTGCTTTCATTTCCTCATTGATTAAATGGAGATAATTACTGAACTTACAGTATTGTGAGGATTAAAGGAATTATTATGTATAAAGCACTTTGAACACCACCAAGTACATAGAGAGATGCAAATATTAGCTATTGCTATTGAAAAGCTCCTGCAATTTATTTTAAGTATTTTCCTCATGTATTGATCTGAAAAGCAAAATCATGAAATAAATCACACATTCTCACCTAAGCCTCCTTTGTGCTTTTCAGTACCCTTTTTTAAAATTTATTTATTTTGGTGGCTGGCTAGTACGGGGATCTGAACCCTTGACCTTGGTGTTATCAGCACCGTGCTCTGAGCTAACCAGCCAGCCCTCTTTTGGGTACTTTTTTTCATATTATTCAATGTCATTTATACCTCAGTAAACGCCTTTCTAGATTTTTCTCTGAATCTTCTTGGATAAAAGCTTCCTCACGCACTTACCACTGACTTTTCAAGTAGCACACGATTCCGATGACCAAGATGCACACAATCATGGGCACTATGATACTTATCAGCATATGGGCTGAGTAAGGAAAACGAAAGGAATATTTTTAGTGAGTATTTTTCCCTCCTCAAAGTAATAAAAATAAGTTTAAAGTTCAAAGTAACTTTACATGTTTATTATTCCACAAATGTCTATTTGTGCAAGTTGCAATATGAGTTTTGCCTGACTGGGGGAAACACCAACCTCCCAACACATGGAGCCATTTGCCATCAACACTTTGTGACACAAGCTCATTATGTCTTCTGATAAACTGCATCATGACTCCCTGTTCCTCACTCTCTCCCAGTATTAGAATTATACTTTCCCACCCTTGCCAGAGGAGGAACTTTCCCGCCCCTGTGCCTTGGCTTGGCCAATGGGATGTTAGTAATCATGATGTGGGTGAATAGGAACTTTTAATATGACAAGCAGAGTTTGGCCTGCCTGCCCTCTTGTCATCCACCATGAGAAGGGTGTGCACCAGGGAGCTGCTGCCCCTTCAGCCTGAGCCCCAGAGTAAACACAGATGCAACAAACCTGAACCTGACTGAAGCCTGGAGTTCAGCTTGGCCCAGCCTAGATCAGCCAAGCCACAGCTGATCTGGAAACCCATGAGTATAAATATTTCTGGTTGTCTACCACTGAGGTTTTGAGGTTGTGTGTTACACATCAAAAATTGACTAGAGCACCCCTTCTAATTAGCTTCAGATAAAATTACCTGAATAAGTCTTAACCTGGGATAATTATTCCATTTTATTTCTCTGATATGTCAACTGGTGTTTCATTTTTTTAAATGCTCATCTTCCTGTGGTCACTGTTTACCATCCCACCAACTAATGTCAGCTGGGTTGGTAAACACCCTCTTTTACAAATGCAGCTTGCTCAGGCAGGGCATAGGGCTAACAGTATTCAAATGTACATAAGATTCTGCTCAATCTACTTGCCTCCCCTGTCCTCCCACTCCCCACCTCCAACACTTGGCTGTCTGGAAGAAATGAAGCTTGATTTGGGGACAGCAGTGTGCTGGACAATGTTGGAATTTTGTGAGGGAGGGCTGGCCTGGGTAGACACTTTGATTCAACACAGGGTTCTGGAGAAAAGCACCCAGAAAGGTAAGAGGGAACCAAACCAAGAATCTCAACAATTGGCCTAAAACTAATTCTATCTCCAGAGAAGAGGAAAGAAACTCTCTTCCCGACTCTTTCACTACAGAAGACCTTGCTCTAAAGATCAGTACAAATCATTTTTAAATCTTGTTAAATTATGACTTTATAATGTATTTCAGAGCAAGCCTACGGACCTAACCATGTTTCCAAATTTCAGATGGTTTTTGCTAAACTATTTATTGAAGTATAACGTATAAATACAGAAAAATGTTCATAAGTGTACAGCTTGATGAATTTTCACAAACTGAACACACCCATGTAAACAGTATCCAGATCAAGAGAAAGAACATTAGCAGCTCCCCAGAAAGCCCCCTTTGTGTCCCCATCAAGTCATTATCCCCTCCCAAGGTAACCACCATCTCTATTGTTTAGCTGCACAAATGGCATCTGCCTCCTTCTGTACTCTATAAATGGAATCACACAGCAAGAGTCCTTCTTGTCTGGCTTCTTTCACTCGGCATTGTACTTGTGAGATTCCTCCATGTTATTTTTGTAACTGTAGAATGTTCATTCTCATCGCATGTATGATATTCCACTGCGTGAACAGGCCATGGTCATTTGTCCTTTCTATTTGATGGGCAATGGGTATTTCTAGTTTGTGGCTCTCATGAACTGTGCTGCTGTGGACATTCTAGTATGTGTCTTTGGGTATTTCTTTAGAGTTTCTGTAGACATTTCTTCAGGGCATCTACCTATGAATAAAAGTTCTCAGATGCCAGGTGTGTATATATTCACTTTAGAAGGCACTACCAAACAATTTTCAAAAATTGCTTGTACCAATTTATTCTTAACAGCAAAGTATGAGAGTTCCAGTTTTTCTACATCTTCACCAACTTTTGGTACTCTTCACTATTTTCAGGATAATTTTAAACAAACTTTTGGAACATAACTCACTTCTGTACTCAAGATTGAAAAATTACTTACTTAGTATGTCTATTAAATTCAGAAGGAAGGGCTGGCCCGGTGGCGCACTGCTACAGTGTGCCGCTTGGGAGCGCGGCGGCGCTCCCGCCAAGGGTTCGGATCCCACATACAGACCGGCCACTCACTGGCTGAGCGAGGTGCGGGTGCAACACCGAGGGTTGCGATCCCGTTGCCGGTCCCAGTCCGGTACGGGTGCAACACTGAGGGTTGCAATCCGTTGCCAGTCACGAAAAAAGACAAAAAAGGAAAAAAAATTAAATAAATAAATAAATAAATTCAGAAGGAAATGTAGTGCCAAATGTCCATCTACAGAAAATACAAATTACGATTCGGATGGACACCCTACAAGGCCTTTAAACAAACTTTGCCTCCGTGCCTCATTATCTCTGTTTAGTAAGCTAGTCTCCCTTTCAGAGAAAAAGTTAAAACATACCAATTTACAAAGAGAAGGGACTATTTTAAAAGTACCGATACAACGAATATTTATGCAGCATTCTGCAGTTTCAATGTTACATTAATTTTTTGCATTTTGGTTCTTTTCTACTGTTTAATCATCCCAGCCTCTTTCAGCAGATGCTAGTATTATTTATTTCCATTCAACAAGGTTCGAGGTATACAGTTAACTGAATGCTAGTCTCATAATATCTATTAAAAAAATGAGTAAGGTTTCTCTCAGGGAAGTTGTAAATAAATATTTCAAATATTTTCTTTTTAGTAATAAGCAATATAATCAAAAGAGTCACAGGACAAGGCTAATGAGGTTGAGCATAGGAGAGATAAATGAAACCTATACTTATACTTAAGATAATCATGTGTGTGTGTGTGTGTGTGTGTGTACCAATCAGGTAAATTCCAAAGCTAGAAGAAAAATAACCTGAAAATAAATTTAAAATTAACTCCAAAGTGGCAAGAGTGCTCAAACAACATAAACCCTTGACTGGAATCTTAATCTGATAGGCAGTTTCAGACTTTGGCTTGGAGACCTAGGGCCATGTTTCAGTCTAGCAGTCAACTAGCAGTGAGTGCCACAATCTGCCACCACAGTTTTGTGTGTCCCTATGACTGGCCAGAGAAGTCCAGGGTCAGCAGTCCTACCCGAGGTGCCCATCCCATCCCTAAGGCTTCAGCGAAGGGACCCTACACCGGGCACAAGTCAGTAGCTTCAGGCAAGACATCTGAGCCCATTTGTTTTTCAAGGAGTATTTCCAAGGGTCCTTACAGTGTAAACCTTCTATGATCCCCTCATTAAAGATGTTCTAACCTACGTCGTCTGTTTGTATCTGTCTTCTTTCACCACCCTCCTGTTTGTTGGATGCCAGGGTTTATCATGGGAATAAATTTTTCCATCAACTAATTCCTACCATTCTTCTCCCTGCCCTTTTCTTTCTCCATCTTTCAAGCCAAATGCATTTTGAAAATATCAGTCTCTTCATTTCACCCTTTCCTTGACCAAATATGCAAACGTGGAGTTAGTGAACACTCCTTGCCCCCACCTGACCCCCACCCCACTCATCTCTAATTGCCCCTGGGGGCCCCAGCAAAGGCAGAAATCATTAGCTTGCCACTGAGGGAAACCAGCCAGAAGGAAGGCTGACTGCGGAGAGTGATTCTGCTGAGAAAGCCACCGCCGCCCTTCTCTACACGGAAGGCTGGTGGCTCTTCTGATGTCAACACTAACATATAGTAGCTGTGCTTTTCACACTAATCCGAGACTGAATTCCAGAGAAATCCCTCAACAGCTACTGAGGGAGGCCAAGGAAGGTTCCAGACCATTATCAGTCAACGTAGTGTGATTCTGTACAACATATGTCATGAAACAAAGGGCTTTATAAAGAAAGAGGGGGTAAGGAGGAGAAAAAAGGATTAAAAATTTCTGATCTAGACAAACCCCAAGACAACATTTCCGTAATTTGTTAGTTTCCCAGAAAATCCTAAGGAAAGAGTTTTGATTTGGAAAAACTCACAGTATTCATCTGGAGTCGTGACCTTCGTGAAAGTACCATTGGGGCCCTCGCCAACACTTGTGTATGGAGTGACGAAGAACTCATACAAGGATTCTGGCTGTAGGTTTTCCACAATGAATGTCTTTTGTTCCGGGTTGTCGACTTTGTATTTGCAGCATACTGAATCATCTGTGATTTTTAAAAATTGGTTTTTTTTCAAAGAAAGAAAAGTCATTTTATTAAGAGTGTAGTAGAGATCTTGTGAAAGAGTTGTACACTGATACTATTGTTGACTCAGCACCGTCAACATTTTTAAACGAACCAAAAATCAAATCATAATTTCATCACACTGGGACACTGGGAACACTGGTACAATTCTCAGGAGATGGCACGGAAAGCAAAAATCCACTGCACAAGGAATGTTGGTGATCCAGGTAGAGCATGCAATTCTTTAAGATATAATAAGAGCTTGCAATTTATTATTATACCTTAAAAATAAATTCTAGTAACATTGAACAAAGTCAAAGAAAAAAAGAAAAAGGGGCAAGAAAGTTTCATAAGTGGCAGGTTTTCTTAAGGAGCTGATGGTGCTTCAGTGCTTCTAAAAATACCAGCCCACGTTGTTTTTTAAGTAAGTTAAAATACTGGCCTCCCACCACCTTGTTCACCCTACTAGTTTAAGAACATCTTTTGATCATAAAATCATGCAAACAAAGAATTCAGCCTGGCCACAGCCAGAGAAGGAGCCTTTTCAATGACTTCAAATAATGAAATCTTGAAAAAGTAAACAAATAAAAATAAAAGAAAATGTCACCTGAAAGAACTGCCTTTTCAAATCCTTGATGGCACTGCATTGCCTTGGATTTCAGATAGACATGGTACCCTCGTATAAAACCAGGTTGGGATTCAGTGGGATAATTGTTCCAATTCAGAGTGAAGGAGTGGGATGTCAAGTTACTTACAGCCACTTGAGGGTTGTCTGAAGGAGCTGGGAAAAGAAGTTGCGGTAAGAAAAGAGTGATGAGTTGGAAATAATCCCAGAATATTCATGTAAACTAAAAGGAGAACTCTGAGCAGCTCTGGAGGCTGTAAGAGCTTATGCTGAGCTAAGGAGTTTTATCTGTTTCTCTAGAGGATTTGTCCCTTGACAGTGTGGAAGAGCTGGGAAGGAGTTGAGCAATCTTCCTTTTCAAGCCTTGTCTTTAGCTGATGAAGAAACGGATGCCCAGAGAGACTACACATCTTGTACAAGGTCACACAGCAATGAATGAACGAATGAGTGAATGAAGTCTTTCTTAGACTTAATTCTGTTCTTGAATACTAACTAGTGTTTGAAAGAAGACCCAACCAGAGAGCCCACTTAAGCGAGGAGGAGGAAGGGAAGAAAAGGAAGAGTTATGTTGAAAGAAGCACAGAGAGATCAGAAGAAATCTAGTTCCTCGGCTGTGGCAATGCAAAGTTATCCAAATGTCACCAAAAAAATCCAGGAGTGTTTATTCTGAAGGCTTCCCTAAGCCTGTTTTTCTACACATGCTTGTGCCCACTTGGTCTACGCACACCAACACACACAAACACTATTTAGTATTCAAGAAC